ACAGTTAAAGTGGTATCAAGCTGCATTATTTTTACAGTGTAGATGTAGCCTAAGTAGTATCTCCTGACTCAGCCTTTACCAAACATCAGCTGCTGTGAGCAATGGAAGTCTGTCCTCCTGTTGATCGGAGCACATCAGATTGATGTTTGGACCTTGGAAACAACACTAGGGGACTTTTACCATCATGGCAATGGTACCATTACTGCAGTAGGGAATTACAGCTTATAAATTTGATCATTGCAATTGTAAGGGTCACTGGCTCATTTCTGGACCTTGGAAACAACAATAGGGGACTTTTGCCATCGTAGCAATGGCATCATAAGTGCAACAGGGAATTCCAGCCTATAAATATAATCCTTGCAATTGCAAGGATCGCTGTCTCTTTTCTGGACCTTGGAAACAACATTGTCCAAGCCCTGGTATGATAACCGTTTGCTCCAAATGGAAGCAAGGAAGATGGATTGTAGTGCTCCTCTTGGGCTGTGAGGTGATGCACCCTCCCTCCACTACCCAAGTATCTGAGGAAGCACCACAATTCATCAGTGAGCAGCAAGAGCTATCAGTCCCAAGGCAGAACTCTCTGCCTGAGCAATGTCCTTTCGATGGGTTCCATTATTAACGTAGAAAACCTGTTCAAGGCAGCCGCCCTCAATGACAACTCCTCACTCCCAGACACGTTTATCTCTTCCTACAAGTCCTTGGGAAAGAAGGATAAAGGGGCAGAGGGAATCCATTTCCTACTGACACCAAGAGCAATACCCATTAATAGAGCCCACCCCACCTTCTCTTTGGAGAACGTGGTTGATAAAGAAGTCGCAGGCTTTCAGTCTGTATCCGGGGGGGAAGGCAGGTGTGCTTTTAAGATATGGAGAGACTGGGCAAAGATAATACATTTTCAAGAATGGCCCCCCAAAAATAAAATCATAATGATGATAAATATTGTGATTTATATCCAGCTGTGTCTGGAAACGGATTCCACACAATGTTTTACTTCTGACCAGTATAAATTGATTAGGAATGTAGCTCTGGTAAATCATCATCATTGAGTTTCTGCTAAGGCGAGACCCAATTCATTCAATGTCATGCAAAGCTTTTTAGAGTCATATAAACAACATAGTTCCATTGATTCAATCAGAAACATTTTTCTCATATCTTCACTCTAAGCAGCTTCAGCATGGGATCATCTTATAGTGGTGTCTGCTCTATGACCATTTTGTTGTTGTTGTTGTTGTTGTTTGTTGCGTGCCTTCAAATCATTGCCGACTTATGGCAACCCTAAGGCATCAACCCATCATGGGGTTTTCTTGGCAAGATTTGTTCAGAAGAGGTTCACTGCTGTCTACTACTGAGGCTGAGAGTATGCAACTTACCCAATGTCATTTCTATGACTAAGAGGTGATTCGAACCCTGGTCTCCAGAGTCCTAGGAGTTTATCACATGCAAAAAAAAACCAACTTACCCCTTCCATTTTACAGCCCATTAGGGGATGCAGTTGGAAAATGCTACCAATGCTACCACCCAACTTCATCCCGCCTAAAACCAACCTACAAGATGCCCTCACCTGGCCAATTTGCAAAGTTGGGAAGCTCTATTTGTCATGTGTGTCTGTTTATGTGCATATAAATGTACACACACACACACTTTTAAATTAGCACTGGCCTTAATAGAATAGCTTATTTCACTACTTTTGAAAACTACTATCATGATCAAGTTTTGTAGACACATTTTTGTCTTGATCTATATTGACAGCCATCTTGAGTTCCACATTGGGAGAAAGACAGGATCCAAATACGGTAACTAAAGGGAAAGAAACATAAATGACTCTAAAAAATGAACACAACAAACCACAGAATAGCAAAAATATGCACGTGTTGGTTTATATTCATGATGCAAATCCTGGTTTGATTTGTCCTTTTACAAATAAAGAGAAAATATTAGGAAAAAATCTGTCTGCAAACTACTATGAACCTCCTCAGAATGGTCCTGTCTATCTATCTGTCTCTATCTCTGTCACTATCACTATATCATCTCTCTTTCTTTGCTAGTCTTAGATAAAAGACATGTATATTTTAGTGGCTTGGGCATATTTCTATAAAATGGACAGTACTGGAAAATCTGATAACTGTTGTCTTGTTGCATTGACTAGTAAAAGTGATAGCACTGAATAGATTGTAAGGAATCCTGTTGGTCTTCTGATACAAAAGATTCAGACAATTTTCTCTGATGCAAAACATCCACGTTCAATTCAGGATTGTAGGTGTCATGTTGCTTATGCAATGCCATTGTGAATACAGATATGATATGTGGACATGTTTCCATGTGTGCGCATGCAATTTATGCAGTTGCACATTTAGCTGCACAACCTTGTCACTTGACACTAGGGTAGAGGAGCATACTCAATGCATAACTTCACATGTGGAGATATATATTATGCCCCCCCCCCAAAAAAAAACCCACGGTAAAAGTGAGGCCATTGTGTCTTTCTGTCAGTTGTGCTTGCTAAGCACATGTCGCAAAGGGAAAAGACACAATGACACAAGGACAGAAGGTTCCAGTAAAGTCTATTCTGTGCAAATTACAAAAACCACAATAAAAAAAATCTCATCACTGGTATGTCACTCCTGCAAGAGAAAGGAGTAGCAGTTTCCTTGAGAAAGGTCCAGTGCAGTATAGTGGTTTGAGCATTGGACTAGGATTTTGGGAGACCCAGTTCAAATCCCTACTCAGCCATGTAAACCTACTGGGTCGCCTTGAGCAAGTCACTCTCAATCTAAGAATGAGGCTATTGCAAACCTGCTCTGAATAAATCCTATCTTTAAAAAAAAAATCCTTCGCTAACTCATTATTTTCTTTGAGGATCTGTCTAACCATGCCAGGAGGCAGACAGTATTGACTAGAATCTCAGCAACTTCAGTAAGACTTCTGCACATCCCTAATGTTTAGTTATAGGTGCAGAATTAGAAAATAATCATTTATCATTTAAAGACAAGTATATATCTCACTCTAGTGGTGAAGACGGTGAACACGGGATGTGTGTCCACTTAACCTGCTGCTAAATATGGACAACTTCCAAGTCCTTTTCTTAACTTACTGGCCTCGAATCTCCAATCTTCCTTTCCAGCACAAATGCAGTCTTTCATCATGCTTTTGGCTGCTGCATTGTCTCTGACTGTCTTTTTCTCTCTCAAAGTTTCTTGATTTAAGGATCATCTAATTTTCTAGGATGCTGCACAAAACAAGTTGCTCATCATTTGAAATCACTATAAAGGGTACCGCATCAGACAATGTTTTCCCAGACAATGAGAGATCCGTCTTGTCTATATATTTAAAAAGAATTACTTTGAGAGGCAGACTCCAAGCCACCAAAAGAAGACAGACATCGTGAAATCTAATTACCTGAGCCATAAAAGCTAAGGATTATTTGTGCTAAAATGTTGCCTGATAGGAGCGTAAGCAGTAGAACAAAGAGATTAAGGAAAGGATGGGACAGAGAAAAAGTATTATAAGTCAGGTGAAACTAAAAGAGGTTATTTACAGATTGAGTCTCCCTTATCCTGAATTCCAAAATCTGAAATACTCCAAAATCCGAAAAGGTCTACATAGGTGGTTGAGATATCTAAATGTCTACATAGGTGGCTGATATAGGTGGCACCCTTGCTTTCTGATGGCTCTCCCATCTTATGTTACAAAACATAAATGAATTTCATGTTTAGACTTTGGTCTCATCTCCAGGATATCTCATTGTGTATATGGAAATATTCCAAAATTGTGACTCACCCAAGGTTACCCAGTGGGTTCCCATGCTAAGAAGGGATTTGAACCTTGGTCTCCTGGAGTCCTAGTCCAATATTCAAACTACACTGCTCCAACTTTCTCAGGGGGGGCATAGGGGTTTTGCCAATTTTTTTGGCTTCCTGTGCTTGTTTTTTGGCACAGGAAAGCCTTTTGTTAGAACACAAAGTCAACTGGAAGTAGCCTCTAACCCCTAACAGTTGCCAAACCTTGTCTTAGAAGCACTCTACAAAGCCTTCTCCCAAGGATCCTCT